AAAAAACAAAACAAAACAAAAAAAAAAACCCAACAAAAAAAAGACAAGCAACCCAGACATCAGGGGAGATTTCAAAGGAGCACCGTTTAGGCAGCTGACACAAGATCTGCTGATGAACCAGCATACAATGTTCCTAACCCTGGAATAATTGTTTCTCTACTAGCTGTAGATATTGCAGAGAAAGAYGGATGTGCTCGATGTGTCAGAATCAATGAAAACACCATTGTAGTGGTTAATGGGCAAACAAGCAGAAAATATATTATGACATATATGAAACAAGCTACATAATAAACTCTGAAAGTAATAAAATGGCATGACATATGCTTGTGCTTATGCTGCTGAAGAAAACTAGCTCCAGCTTTAAGCTCATTATTCCTGACAGGAGTGATACCAGAATGTTACAGTGAGATAAAGTCCAAARCCAAAATGAATCTGTGATGGCTGAAACCACTATATCCCAAGAAGTAACTGAGTACTAAAGATAGACAGTAAAATTCTAGGTGAAACTGGACACTTTATAATAAAACCTACAGATCCAGTAAAAGAGTTGTTTAAAAGGCTGATGTGTTTGTGTTACAAGCAGAACTGAGGAATCGTTCATCCCCCGTGCACTTGGCACTGGTGAGGCTACACCTCAAATCTCCATGTTAAGTTTTGAGCCCCTCACTGCAAGAAAGATATTGGGGTGCTGGAACTTGTCCAGGGAAAGGCAGTGGAACTGGTGGAGGGTCTGGAGCACAGATCTGATGGRGCTGAGGAGCAGCTGAGGGAGCTGGAGTTATTTAGCCTGGAGAAAAGGAGGCTCAGAGGGGATCTGATCATTCTCYACAGCTGCCTGACAGGAGGCTGCAGTAAGGTAGGGGTCAGTCTCTTCTACCACGCAGCAAGCAAGAAAATGAGAGGAAATTATTTCAATTTCTKCAGGGAAGGTTTAGATTGGGTATTAGGAAAWATTATTTYACCGAAAGGGTTGTCAAACACTGGAACAGGCTGCACAGAGAAGTGGTTGAGTCACTGTCCCTAGAGGTATTTAAAAGACATTTCGATTTCTCATTCAGGGATATGATTTAGTAGTGTATATGACTTGTTAGGTTAATGGTTGGACTCAATGATCTTAAAGGTCCTTTCAAAACTMAATTATTTGATGATTCTGTGACTATAAATCTTGGTCTTTGAAAATTAAAGATAACAAACACCTACTGCTGGTGAGGAATAAAATAGCCCTTAGACATATAAGTCAATGTGCAAATTATTCCAGGAGAATAGTTCTGCTTCTCTCTGAGAAGCAAATAGATATGGCTACCACTGAACACTAGGTACTGAATAAGGAGGACTACATTACATTCTGCAAAAATGGACAGTGCAGAGATTTCAGAGATTTTTTGGACTGGGATCACAGAAAGGACCATGACAATTGCTAAGAGTGCAATACTGCATTATGCCTTTTTAAACTTCCCTTCCAACAAAGTCTTGTTTCAAAGTTTTCAATTTTTTTACACTATAACTCCTATTTCCTTTTGAATAGAACTGTGAAAAATAATATGTTTTTTCATAGCATTCTCTGTCAAAGTTTTTAAGCTTCAAAAGGAAGACTTTGGTGGTTTATGATGCATTTACTGCCAACAGTCCTTTGAGGGAAGAAAGGTAGATGTGGTAGTTACCTCAATATATCACAAGTAGAGCATTTGCACTAGCACTTTAAGGCAGAGTAACTGAGACTTTTATTTTAAAATTCATTAAATGTTGTAATGAAGTTGATTGACAACATTATTTTGCTCTGGTTGGAAGTACAAGCAGATAATTGTCACATGCCAAGAAAAGGTGTCAACTTAGCCTAAGATATTGGGCCATTCTGCTGACTACGTAGAACCCTATTTAGGACAAACATACCTTGTATTGATTTTTAAACTGACTTCTCATTAAATTGCACATATTTTAGGAGAAATAACCAGCTTAGCCTTAATCCCAGTGCAGTTACAACAAACTTTCTACTGATTCATTTGAACAAGAGAGAATGGGACATGTAAAAATGAAGGAATGTAGAAAGTAACACATAAAAATTAAACACATGTAGATTGACATAAAAGTTACCATCACTACAGGCTCATGTCTTTCTGGCAGGATCTACCATAGAAGTGTATTTTTGCCTTTTCCTCCCCTGCCCCCTTAATTTTCTGGTTTCTTCTTGTGCATCTATTGTAAAGGAATGCATAAATATGATGTGCTCAATTATTAATCATGTATCATTCATGCCTAGCAAGCAGCTTCAGAAATAAAAATGCAGAGAAGACTTAAAATTATATCCCACTTCAGGAGTTTTACCTAAAAATAGCTGATTCCTGGATGAGCCACATCCTGTTGATTTTTATTGCAGAAGTACCAGGCTAGAATTCTAAGTATTCACATACTCTAAGACATTCACCTAAAAAAAAAAAAAAAAAAAAAAAAAAAAAAAAAAAAAAAAA